TCTAAGAAGGAAGTCATTACTTCAATCTTCGTCATTCTTGATCATTAGTTTGAGCTAGGAGAATCTTCTGTCAAGATCATAGAGATGCATACAGACCTCCTGTATATCATCTATGACTGAATGCTTTCAGAGGAATCCCTAGCACCAGGATCACACAGCTTCTCCAACTTTTCAGAGCCACAAATGGTGTTCATATCATCAACTGATCACTGTCCGAGGAGATACAACTCTATAATGGGAGGGATGGTTGTGGCCCTTCAGAGCTTGGCTCATGGCTGCCCTGACACCGTTTTCATGAAGCAGATGTGGGAAGCTTCTCTGTTTTTGTCTGGTTCTGATCAAGGATGGGCAAGCACACGCACAGCCCTTCAGTTCTTTAATTTGTAGCTGTGACTCTGAACCATGAACATGAATCAGCCGTGTGTCATTGCAGCAAAGGCGGCCAACTACATTCTTGGCTGTATCAGCAAGAGAAAAGTCACAAGGTCAAGGGAAAAATTCTTTCCCTTCTATTCACTATGTGTAAGACCACATCGGGAACATTCTGTCAGTTTTGGGTACTGCAATACAAGGAAGACATTGACACCCTGGAGTGAGACCAATGGAGGGCCACGTAGATGTTTACGGAACCTTCATCCTTCAAGTCGCTCAGAATTTGACTGAACGAAGCTGTAAGGAACCTGTTCTATCTGAATCTGCGTTGAGCATCTGGTTGGAGCAGATGATTCCTAAAGGTCTCTCCCAACCAAAGTTATTTTATAAATCCATCATGACATGTTATTAGCAGCAAACCTTTATGACTACGCAATCTAGCACCTGGATGCATCAAACCTTTCTTCTCACATAGCTCTCTATCCAGCACCAGAAGTAGGAACAGAAACTCAAACAGATCCTCTGTATACTACAAATAAAGCTCTTCATAGTATGGTAGTCCCTCCATAAGTATGGAGGTCCTTCCATAAGGGTACATAGATCACTGGGATCTTTCTGGAGGTCTATAAATTGGCCAGACATGATATGATAGCACCCATACTGGAGAGCCAAAACATGCTGAAAGCGTCAGCTACGCTCTGGACTCATCCTGTGAGATGCTTTTTCTAGGACAGCCCCTGAATGTGTTCACCAACATACAGACAGTAGAGAAAGTCAGTGGACTGTGAGTCAGTGGCAAAAACTGGGAGTGCAAGAAGACAACAGTATTGAAATACCCACAATACATTTGGTCAGAACATTTTTCATGTTCTGATCATCACTAAAGGGTCGATACGTTTTTTCAGGGCAGATCTGCTGACAACAGCATAAAGCTCCCCAGCTCCAGACATGGGTGAATCTGCTGCCGTTGTGGCTCCCACAGTCTGTCGCAGATCAGCCTGCAGAGCAGAGTGTGTCACAGTAAACGAGACATTAGATTGTAATTAAACTGGCAATTAAACAGTAAATAACTTCAGCAATTAACCTTTTTTCCTCAAAAAAAAATGTCAAGGTTTTTTTATGAGAAGTGACTGCAGGAGAAATCAAACAAGTTCTATTCAGATTAGAGTACAAGGGGAGGCAAACTAATATAAATCTTTTTGAAAAAGTCAAACATGGGCATTTTTATGAACGCCTGTAAGACAAAAATGGTATGATCAGTTTCCTTAAAAAAAATCAGTTTGGTCAGAGAAAAAGCTTAAGAACTCTCAGAGAAAGCCAAACTGGAGAGTTAGTTAATAAAAAACCTTAGCATTGATCAGGCCTTTTTAAACTTAGGAGGAATGACTGTTGCTCTAATAAATCCCTGATGTTATTCTGTAGATACTTTTGTATTTATGAAGGAATAATGAAGATAATGCCTTTCTGTGATTATGGGGGGGAAAGTGTGGGTCATAGATTCCAGTAGAAGTAAGAAAGTTAAGGCATGAAGGAATCCACTGTAAATCTCAGAATAACTTAATCTAAACCCTCATCTTTAGAAAGAACATTTTAATTTAGAGTCCCAACATCAAAGACCATATGAAATCACCATTTCTTTAAAAATCCACACTTAAGGACAAGAAGATATTGGCCAAAATCCTTAAACTAATTAGTACTGAACAATCCTCTGGGCTGAACTTTTCCCCAAAATCAAATTACTGAGCTTAAACTAGGAAGCTCTTAGTCCAATTTCAGTGTTGGCAAGGATGAGCTTATAGTGATGAGAATCTTTTTACTTTATTATCTCCATCCTAAATTGCTTTTTAGTTTTTTTTATCCTTTTTTTTATTATTATTTTTTCTTCTATCCATTAAATAATATTCCTGACTAGCTACAGCTGTTCACATACAAGCAAGAATTAAAAACAAACCGACGACTTAGTGAGTTTTCCATTCCTCAGCAGGGAACAATCTATTACTATACTTCATCATCAGTCATAATTGTGACTACAGACTTTACCTTCATCCCTAAGAGAAAAGGACCAATCCTGATTCTTGCAGAAACAGGTTTAATGCCAAGGCTGAAGAGGACAAATGTGACTGTCCAGATAATTTCTCACTTAGGACTGGCAATGTTATCATGAAATATATACCCAGATGAACAGAAAGGACAGCAAAGAAGGAAGGTAAGATGACTGGCAACTAAAGAGGTCAGAAGCAAAAAGCTAGGAAGGTGATAGGGGATTCCCATTCACAGATTTATGAGCAGCTAGGGAAGATGATCTTGCACCAGACTATGTAAGAACTATTGAGTAAGGAAGAAACTATGTCCCCAGTGTGCAGCTGGAGTCTCCGTTCCCTTAAAACTTCATATTTAAACTCAGGACTTGAATTAAAATTATGCATTGCTACATTAACTTCTTTAGGTTTCTCAGCTTGATTTATAGAAGATATCAGTTGTGGAAACTGTGCTTTTAAGACAGCAGGTCTTACTACAGATTTATACCTGTGAACTGTGAGGAGAATTAGGTTCACTGGGTAGGACTTATTTTTTCTTTGCTTAAGTTTTAAAATATAAGAAAGGCCTTTTTTTTCATTAACATATTGTAATGATTATAAATTCAGCTTTGACTTGGATAAATATCTATCAAGGTTTGCAGAAGAGACATCACCACTGACCTTATCATCTTAACAACACTGTTACAGTTGGAGAGTTCTATTCCCTTCTTATGGTCATGTAATTTGAAGGCTATGGCATATGTTATAGAAAAAGCAATACAGGAAACAAAACAAGCCTTTTAGTTTGCAAACAAAATGGTGTTGCTGACAGACAGAATTGCCAGAGGTAACCTACCATATTGTGTACTGGCTAAAACATAGCTCTGAAGAAATCGAAATGAAAAATTCTTTTCTCCTAATTATATTAATGATATATAATTTCCAGTTCATTTAGCCATGTGTTTTGCAAGCTTTTAAGCCCAACAGTAATCTAAACATCAGAATTGCACAGTGACTGCATTTCTGCAGGAGAAGTAAATACATTTTTAAAAAAGGACAGAAAATATTATGAAATGGTGACTTCTGTAAAAAAAAAATCCTGACACTTTTATGGTTTGGCATTTTAAATATAAATACTAGGGTAATTTCACCGTGCCTTTGAATGAAATGACGGTGTGAGCTAAATTAAAATAAACTCCCTTGAGAATTATTTATCAGGCTACTGATATTCAAAAGTATTTTCTGAAAATTAAAATACATTAACTAATTTTTTACCCTAGTAACTCCATCCCATTTTTTTCTTCACAGGGGTGTTCCTGGCCTACTCTGCATAGATAAATGGTAGAACTTGCCATGCTTCATGGCTCGGCTGGCTTTCTGGGGGATCTTTGTTATATGTCTGCTGCAAGGTGAAGGTTTTGTGGAGATCTCAAATTAGAGACATGAAATTCAGGAAGCCTGAAGCCATAAAGTTTTACCTAACACTTCAGTGCGATATTCTAATATGTGTATTATTCACCCTCACTCCACTCTCAGGTTAGTGTAAATATAAGCATATTTTGCACTTAACAAGCAATTCATGAGTCTCTCCAAACAGAGTTACCCCTATTTTGTATTGGAGGGAATGGGATGTGCTCTCTTATGCATATTGTGACAATAGTGCATATGCATTTGAAAAGTCCTTGTTTAAGTCTTGACCCTGTCCTCAGAGATAACACTGACTGCCATTACACAGCTTTTCCTTGCACTTTGTGAAGGTCAGCTCCACAAAATTAAATTAGAACTCCCACTTCCCATTCTTTTTTATTACACAGTCATCCCTATGATACATATGCTCACCAGTGACTGGAAATTTTACACGGGGGAAGCCATAATGGACTACACCATAAGGTAAGATTGGAGATTGATAATATCTGGGCACTCTGGAAGCTAATGGCTCAGTAGTTTGTCATTTTATATACAAGATTCTGCCTGAAAAGAAAGCCAGGACTTCAGTCTGGTTCATCCTACCTGCACCGAAAACACATTTTTTCTGGAGTACCACCCTGAGCATCACTTTGGTGAAAACTAATATTCGAAGAGGGGAGGAAGATTAGGGATGCAAAGTTGTCAACCCAAAAGAGAATCCCTGAACTAGGGGCACCATCTGCAGGGGAACAGACTGACACTGACTCAGATCTGTCCTTGTGTTGCACAGCTGCCATCTGTGCAAAGCATATGCAGGTTGGTTTGACTACCCTTGAACACTCCCTTGTAAAAGAGTATTTCCGTTTTCATTTTCATTTATGCTGCCACAGTGTCCCAGAGCTCTGGGCACAGAGCAGGAGCTCTGTGTGTTAGCTGCTATACAAATGCAGATTAAGAGAGACCATCTCTGCCTAAACTACTTAGAAGCAGCAGCAGATTTGTACAAATCAAACACAAGAAAACAATGAAATCAAATGACACATTGAGACAAACATCAGTCAGTGGACATAAAGCTCTTTGATTTTTCCCTTTGATTTTTAGCTAGAATTAAAACCAAAACAAAACCTCAACACTTGCTCTCCATTCCCTCTATCCAACTCACAATCTCACAGATTGCTCCAAAAATCATCTTCAAAGACTTACTTCATGTGATGCTTTTGTTAGTTTTGTACAGCTGAATAGTAACTCCAGTATTTGTCCATTTTACTGAAGGTTAATTCTCACTTTTGGGACTTGGCTTTCTCACTTTTTTTTTTATGTCTTTCATGTTCTCCTGATACAGATTTGGCTTCCTGACTAGGAATGTGCCCACTAAATAGGTCATCATCACCCAGTATATATTATGGAGACTTCAATGGAACCAGGGGTGGGACAACACGGCATTAAAATGGGATTCCAAGTTTTTAATTTTCAGCTGTACACACCAGTCCTTGGATTCTCAGTCAACAAAAACAAACAGTTGAGAGTGGGTGTTTCATTTGCTAAAAGAGGTATCCAAAATCTGTGCTTAAACTCATGCAATTGGAACTTCATTTGAAAAGCTGTGTCCCATTTCTCTCAAGCAAAAGCCAATTCCTTTGTCTTCAGGCATACAAACTACTCTCAAAATTAAAACCATGAGGATAGCAAAGATCAAAACAAAGGAAAAATATGAGTAAAATAATATGACAATGAAGAACAAAGTAAAAGCATCTTTCTGTTAAAAATAGGTACCAGTGATCTCATGCAACACAAGGCCAGTGAATAATTTCATTCTGATGGTCACAGTTCAATCCCTGGTAGTTTAACGTTCTATACACTGCCTGGTAAGTAAATTAACATGCCACCAGTACTATTTATTCATTCACCTGCTGCTGATTTGCCCTCGTGATTTACCTGACTTCCCATCTTGTACATCTAATTGTGGCGACTGTGATACTTGGTCACACAAAGGCTGATGTACAAAAGAAAATTGATGGCATCTCGGGCCCAAAGCCAGAGCCCTGGCTTCTGTTTTTGATGTGCCATGACTGATGTTGCTCCAGAATTTGCCTCAGTTCAGTGTCTGTCATTCTAGTACCTGCTCTTTGTATGCCATAAAACGTGCCAGGACAGGCCTGAGAATCTTTTGGTTTCATTGGCTTTGGCCCAGTCTTTCCCCTTCTTTTTGGAGCAAGCAGTAGTCTTTTACTTTCAAAACCTAGTTTTTATGGCTTGTATTGCTTTCTAATCTTGAGGTATTATCTTGAAGACATAGTACACAGAGAGTAAAAATAAAAATGGTAAAGACAAACTGCATCATTTCTGGTCTTGCTTTTTTATTCATATTCTTCCCAGATGCTCCTGTACATCTGGCTCAGTCAAAGTCTAAATTGAAAATAAAGGATATGAAGGATATAACAGAGTCTAGTTCTTCACCTGTACTGAGCAGGATTCCTGATGGAACTTCTGAATGGTAGATACTATTTAATTTTCTCTTTTGATGCTCTAATGCACATTAAAAACCAAAACAGAATAGTTCTCAGGTTTAGAGCATAATTTCTTCTGGCTTTGCGTGCTGCTTCTTTTTTTCTCATAATAGGACACCTTCTTCCCTGAAAACAGCTGTGGAAGACATAACAATAACAATAATAATAATAATAATAATAGTAATAATAATAATAATAAATACAATGATCTCTGTTTCAGATCAAAATTGTGAGTTTAGTGGCTAGCATTTGGCTAGCACTCCAAGCACTGATCAAATGGTTCCTGAGTTCTTCTAGAACATCCTTATCCATTCAGGAGATGCATGTCTTTCCTCATGTTTCACAGCTTCCTTTGCTTTAATTAACCACCATGACTGGACAGTAACTACCCATTTCCTTGAGGATGCAATAGTGAAATAAAATTTGCTCAAAGGACCCAAGATCTCCTTCTGTATGAATAAGCTTTTGGGCCTGAAAGGAACTGAAGCAAGCATGCTTGTTAGGAGGATTGAAACTTTTACAGAAATTTTTCCATTGCAAACCACCAAGCTCAGAAAAGATTAGGTGAAATCTCTGCCACCACCCTTCCAGCCTCCACCACACCTGTCCTATTTTTTTTTTTTTTTAATCTAGGAAAATAATTATGTATGGACTAACCACAGTCAGAGAGTAAGAAAGTGATGGTATACTCTCCAGGGATACTGCTAGAGAGCATTTCTGTTCCTTACTGTCTATACATTAAGAGAGAGCAATTAGACTTAAATGATGATTCTTGTCTTTGCTCTAGTACTAAGACAGGGTCTGATGTGTCATGCCTTGTGAATGCCAGACTCCCACAGCAGACTTCTGGCTGTTTGGCTGCTGGGAATACAGCATCAAGTCCTCATAATTATTAGCATTGTTATGTGTGGGTTTTTTTAACTGACCAGATAAATGATCCTAGAGAAAATAGTACTTGGTATCTATTGTATCGGGAGAGAGAAAACAGCCACATTTTAAAATCATACAGGGTAATCTGGGCACAGGCAATCACTTCTGCATATGCAATTTAAATTATGGTGACTCCTTTCCGTAGCTCAGCAAGAGTTGATATTTGCTTTCCTTTTCCCTTGTATGACCTAATGTGCCCATACAAGAAAAACTTATATTGTAACTAACAGATCTAAGAACACATGTCCAGCACTGATGTGATCAGAAAATGTGTATTTGAACTGAACTGGAAAAGGGCTGTGATTTTGAGAGGCAAATTCTACCACAAAAGTACGGGTGGGGAATGGCAGGATGACTTTCTGCTGAAGGCATGGTAAATCACTTCTGAGATGTGCCTGGGAGCTTCTTGGCTTTCTCAGTTACCTGCTAGTGACAGCATAGGGGCTCCTCTCTTTGCCAACACTTGTTATTTATCTTATTAAGGTGTAATTTAGGTAACTCACTCTCCTGTACCGTGTGCAACCAACTAAATGGTTGTGGAATACATAACTGCTTTAAGTTTTCTTACGACTGCAATTCAACAGGATGCTGTACTACTGTGCATCACGCCTGAGCTAGAACCTGTATGTTTGGTACCCTGTGACCAATTAAAGGTTACGGGAAACTTTCAGAAATACACCATTATTTTTACAATTATGAAGATAAAATTATGCTTTCCTCCTGTGCCTTTGAGGGTATAGATGCAATGATAACATATGCTGAGGAACAAAGAACTTTAGTCAGTTGTATTTTTAAAAGCTAGGCTTACATCTAAATTTATTTCCATTTCCCTCTGGAACCCGAGCAGCTTTTTATGTTATATTAAACATTAGACAAATAGGGTAGATCTAATTAAAAGTTGAAGAAATGTGCTTTCCTTAATTGAATTTGTTACGGTTACATTTTGCAGACCAATGTTAATCACAGCGCCAGTACAGAGTGGATGGATCGAGGGAATTAAGTTAACCCTCGCATGCCCTTACCTGAACACGCGACACGCTCTGCTCTCGCCTAAAGCCACAGCCGCCCATTACGACTCACCGCTCAGTCGCGACAGCCCGGGGCGGGCTGCTCAAGGGCCCGCCGCCGCCGCCGCCGCCGCGGGAGGGCCGCGCTCCGCAGCTTCGTTAAAAGTACCGCGTACTGCGGGGCAGCGGCAGCGGCAGCGCCTGGCGGGGGTCGCCGCCGCCGCCGCCGCCGCCGCCGCCTCCGCTTCCCACCGCCCCTGACGGCCCGGGGCCGGGGCACGCCGCTCACCCGACGGCCGCTGGGTCTCTAGTACGGAGCCCTGTGCCGCCCGGCGTCGTCCCCCGGCCGCCATGCGCGGGGATACCCTCCTCATCCTCACCCTCATCCCCCGCCCGCCGCTCCCCGGCCCCGCCCGACGGGGCGGACAGGGACCGCGCGGCCGCGGGATGGGCGAGGCCGGCGCGGCGGCTCCACCCATGCTGGGCGCCGGCCGATTGGCTGCCGAAGCCCATCTCCCCGCCCCTCAGCCAATGAGGGCGGCGGGCCGGGGGTGATGGGCTGCCTCTCGCGGGAGGGATTCCTGGAGACGCTGCAGTGTGGCGGCGCTCCCGGCGCCGCGCAGCCCCCGTTGCCGCCTCCGCCTCCCCGCTCGCCTCGCCTCGCCCTGCCCGCCCGCCGCCGCTGAAACTTAACGCCCGGCGCGTCGCCAGCCCGCCGAGCGCAGGGGGCCGGGGCAGCCTGCCTTGGCCGTGCGCGGGGGCGGCCCGCCGCGCACCCCGCCGCGCACCGCAGCCTCGCTCCGGGAGGGGCCCCGGGCGCGCGTGGTGCCGCCGCCGGGAGAGGCTGAAGGACGAACCGGCTGCGCCCGCCCCGGTTGCCAGGTAAGGCAGCGCTCCGGGGCCGCTCCCGTGGGGGGTGTGTGTGGGGGGGTGTGTCACCGGGAGGGGGGGCGCCCACTGGCACCGCGGTGCGGGCGGGGGGGGGGGGGAAGAGCACATGCTCCGGGGGCGACTGGCGGCGCCGCCTGCCCGGCGGCTCTGCCCGCAGCTGCCGGCGGGTGGGTGCCAGCTCCCGGGGAGGCTCAGACAAAGGGGGGTGCTCCCCCCCCCTCCCGGTGCCGCGGTGCTCCGCCTTACACCCCCACCCCGGCCGTGGGGCGCCGGTCGCCCGCCCTCCTTCCATCCCTCCATCTCTCCCTCCTCTCCATCCCTCCCCGCCGCTGCCCGGCAGCCGGCGCCGGGGCGGCTGCCGCCCCAAGTTGTTTCTCCCGGTTTCACCTGGCTGCCGCCGCGGTGCCCCCGCCCCCGGCGGGTGGGGGGTCCCGGCGGCCGGGGCGGGGCGGGGGGGGGGCACGACGGTGTGCGCTGCCCCGGCCCCCCGGGCGCTGCCCTCTCCTCCCGCCCGCAGGGCAGCATCTCATCATTTGTGTATCAATTTACAAAGAGCCTTTCCTCCATTACTTAGGAAGGCTATCAAGCTAATGTATTTTCCTTCCGTGCAATTTCATTTTGTGTCCTCGGACGTTATTTCCTTCATCTTATTTAATGCCGCTTGTCTCGCTTTGATTTTGGGTGCGTTATGGTCTGGTTTGTATGCACACACGGTATGGATGGGGGGATCAGCGCTCTGTTTAAAAGTTAATTTTGCCTATCAAACTCTACTAGGTACAGTAGTGAGGAAGTGGCAAAGAATGTAAATATTTCTTTTGTTCTCAGTCTTCTGAAATAAAGATATCAAACCAGCTTCTGGTCGTCAGTATAGTAAGTAAATTAAATGTAGTCATTGGAATGAGCCTTTATGGCACTTTCAACAATCTGTAATTCAATCATCTCTGATACAAGCTGCCTTTTGCTATTATTCATCAGACCCAGCTGAGTGATTTCTATCAGATGGGAAGTGGTAGAGGGAAATCTCTAGGTAAATGTAACTGAAAAGCTTTCCAAGTGGAGTCCTAAATGAGTACAGAAAAGCACTTGGCCACAATCTCGAGACAGATGTTAGCATCCAAATAAATAATTTCTTTTGATTGTCTTGGGAATGTCAAGTCTTATTTTCCCTATTTAATAGCTGTTTGTGGGTGAAGAAGAAGGAGCTCTGTGTTTTATTACCTTGTAAACTCCATGCAAAATGCTGTAGTGCAATAATATTCCTTTGTGTCTGAAACAGTATTTTCTGTACAAAGGTCAGTAGAGTAATTTTTAGATAAACATACATGTTGTAGACCACGACTAGACTACTAATCAGCAGCAGCGATACTGATCCTCTGAGCGGCGATGCAGTGTGCCACCCGTGTTGTGCATTAATCTGTTACGTGCTGTTTAAAGTGCTTTACTGTCCGAGAGAGTTACTTTATCCTAAGAAACGGAAGATGATAGTTGTTAGACCCAAGGGGAGACTCCCTTCCCTGGTGGATTGACATCTGGAGTTACGGATGAGCAATTGTTTTAGGAGTGACCCTGAAAAGGCGAGGGGGAGCTTGTGGGTACAAGGACAGGTAGGCAGCAAACTAATTTGCTTTGTGAGGATGTGAACTGACATCTCCTGCCATGCTTAAATAAACCTGCTCAGGGAAAGTGTAAGGAGATTCCACGTGTGTCTGGAATAGTATTTTCTTGTCCCTCTTGGAAACAAATGACCTGATTTTATGTCTTAAGTGTCAAATATGTATCATTTATTTTCTTCCAAGCTTTTCGGAATTGTAGTTCTATTAGTAGTGTCTGAGGGGAATATACTTTAATGTGGTCTATTACTTGGCTTGTGGTATAGTTGCTCAAAATTTGCATGCATGCAATTCATAAATTGAAACTATATAGCTTAAAAACATAGCGTAGGCAGCTTGAGTGAGAAGAGATAATTTAAAAAAGAACCACAGGGCAGAAGATAATGACATACTGTAGGAAATAATCATACTCCTGCACTTGCAAAAGCATGAAATGTTCCAGTGTAGCCATTTCATACGAGCCCAATTTTCCTTCACATTAAGAGTGCCTAAGTGAGCCTTATTAATGTTTGATGCAAAAGATGCTAAATCTATTTTAAGGATTGATACTGGAATTTAAAGAGGTAGTTCACAGCCTAACAGTGCAGTTCTCGCACCTACCCAGAACAAATGTGAAAAATAATCATTTACCAGGTATGCTGTAGCAGCACAAGTGGATTATAGCATTCTCTGTATCACTGACAGGCAAGAAGCTCTTTAAAACCATAGATACAAACCAGTGTTTGATTTAACAATCTGAAATGTTCTCTTACTTTAGTCATAACTTAAATCAGATACAAGAGCCCAGATGATGTTCAGTGTCGCTTAGTGTGGTAGTTGAGGTGATGTGAGATAAGGGAAGGTTCTGTTTGTCAGAAACCTAGGAAAAAAAAAATCTATACTTTTCCAGCTAGCATAGAGAGACTGGAAACATAAAATCAATTTTTATGGTCTTTTGGCAGGGTTGGCTGTAATAAGTAAAAAGGAGCAGCTTAGGGTCTTGGCAGAAGTTTTTAAGCCACTCATCTGTACAGAACTCAGTTAATTGATGTTTCCTGACATGAAAATGAAGCTCTTTAGTATATTGCAGTCTTTTCTTGTCCATTCAGCAGTCTGATTACAATTTTAAAAATACTTATGTATGAACGTGTGTGGTTTTATATTTATATACACATTTAGACACACAGAGAAATTCTTATGGGGAACTGTCTTCTGAATAAAGAGCGCAGGCAACTTCGTATTACTTGCTGTGGAAGAGACATCAAAGTTTGCAATAAAATTGAAAAGGACAAGAAAATATTTCTACATATCCAGAAGAAAAGCATGGAGGAATTATTACGCATGGATACCATGATTTCCTTCCCTCTGCTGGTGATGCCTGTATAAATGTGCAGTTGCACAAGGAGAAATACTTCGTCGTTTGATTTACTTTGATTCTCTGTAGAACGTTTGTTTTAAATGTTACTCGGTACCTAGGAAGAAGCTTATTTAAGAAATACACATAAGGGAGGCTTGTTAGCCAAGTATGCATTTGTGTTTACCACTGACATTTACTAAGGATACTTGAGGTTAAAATAAAGGCATTGGCCAGACTGAATAAACAAAGCATTATGTTAACAAATATTTTCAGGATCGTTACATACAAACGTCGTCTTTGCTAGAGTAGGCTTTACACCTTCCTAATATGCCCCAGTAAGAGGGGGGAATTAGGAAATGATCGTTATACTGTTATATCTTTTACAGAAGTACCAGATACCAAAGCAGTATGCATTAGGAGGAGGACAACTGACAAGGGCTCTTCATGATTTCTTCTGGTGAGAGGATAAGAGCAGGCTACAGGCAATCTCTTTCAGGGACTGCGTGGACTAGCAGAGTGATTTGTACAAGCAGCTTGTGGAAGGAGTTGTCTGGTTTAAATAAAAAAAAAAATATATATTTTTCTTTATTTTCCTGAGGCATGTAATGACAGAAAGCTAGAGAGAAGCTGTAATAAAAATGTTTCCTTAAGTGTTACTTTTGACAAATGTTTAATCAGAATGTTTTAGAGTCTGGCTTTTCTATTGTGGTGGGTTTTTTTTTGTTTTTGTTTTTTTTTTTTTCCCCAGTGACTTAATGAGTAGCATTTCACAGGTCTTCTGTTTACTATAAATGCTTACTAGAAGGTTGATTATTTTTCTTAACCTGTTTTCTTATCACAACTAGTCTGGAGTTACTTCCTCAGAATAGCAAGCACTGAACACTTCTCCTTCTCCATCCTAGAGGGAGTGATGTTGCCATATTTTAAATTCTCAGAGGTTTGCCAACTCAGGATCCCACTTCTCTTTTCTAGCTATCCCTAAAGATGCTGAGAGAAATTTATTGAAATGCAAAGGAAATCTAGAATTTCTCCTGTGCAGTGTAGTTATCTGATAAACTACTAATATTATATTATTCTTCTAAATGAGAGACCATACAAATTTTAAAAAGTGTCACCAGAAATTATCCAAATTATTTGTTTTTCATCAACTCTGAATAATCATATTAATATAATATTTCAGGAAAATAAAATTTTATTTAGAAGTAGCTAAAAACAATTTGGTTGCTTTAATGATGCTGTGTGTAAGTTTCCTGGTCATTATTCAGGATTTATAGTAGTAGTACCATCTGCGGTAGTAGTTTTAATAATATAGCCATGGTGGTAGTGGCTAGGTAGTACAGTGCCTCAAATATATGAGGATGCAAACATTAGAGCTGCTCAGTGATGATTTAATGAAGCTGGTTTAAAAACCCACATACAAGTTTTGTACTCTTATCTTAAGGGTATTGTTTTTTCTGTGTGTGGCTGAAAAATCAGTGTAGCAGTTGCAATAAGGGAAGGCTGTTAAACATTGCCAAGCTTAGCCGGGGGACATGAGATTGCGTGCAAACTCCTTCATCTCCATGTGTTTGAATAACCATATAGATATGACAGTTGAAAATAATTGGAGTGCTTCTGTGGAAGGTGCTGTGTAAACAAAGATTCCTTGACAAATGGTTTATCTCGTTCAGGACCATGTCTCTAACAGTAATATTTTTTCTAGAAAATGGATACACATACATCATTGACAGGTGGACATTAGACCTAATTCTTCTTATTTGGAGCACATAAGGACCACTTGTAACATGTATTTTTAATTAATGATATATTTCTTTGCTTTTTTCAAAAGCTATGGAGAGTGTTTCTTTATACTCATATATTTCTATTTGATTTCCATCATCACATCTTAGAGTTGGGAGGAATTCTTAGAAGAATGTGACAGGTACAATTAGAGTGGTATTTTTTTTTTTAAAGGCTAAATGTAGTAACTTAAGGAAAACTTAGTGACATGGTATTTTGATAGAAGATATGATCTGTTGGAAAGTAGGTGAGGGTTAAGGGTTGATAGTGTAGTACATTCCAATCAAAGTAGTTTTGATAGTGTTTTTTAATTAAAAAAAGTCTGCTTCTCTTTCTTGTTGAAATTGTAAGCTTAGTTTTGACTTCAGTAAGGCATTTGATTTAGCTTAGGGTGATGTTCTGATTGTAAGAATTAGTACTGTAGAAGGGCACCATTGTCTGCGAACAGATTAAAATTTTTTTACTTTTAATATATTGCAGAGAAGAAAGTGTACGGGGAATCGCTATGTCCATTATTCCAACTCTATTCATTACCTTTGGCAATCTGGAATAAAATGCAGAATCTATATTCATGAGTATTAAAATTGGCACAAAAAATCAGAAGTGAAGTTGGAAGAAGTGCTATTTTTGACTGTTAAAACACCTATTTAGATACAGTAGGATGAGAAAACAAATGAAATCAAAGTGAACTGTAACACTTTTGCCTATTTCCAGTAAAAAAAAATAATTGCAGTTTCCCCCTAAAGAGTGACTCTGAGAAGTGACGTGGGCATTACGTCCAGGGATCATCATCTGTCACTGTTTTAAAGAGCAGAGAAACTGTGCACAGCTGTAAACACCAAGGCGGGGTTGAGAGCATGAGATGTGCCCAACTTCAGAAAGGATGCTGGATGACTACAGTTAGCTTAGAGAATGGATTCAGCAGTTGCATGATTTGAGACGTGCTTCTTAATGCGACTCCTGAGGTCTTGCCATTCTCTCTGGAAAGCTGTTTATGCCAAGAGATTGCTAGATTCCCACACAGTGAAAATACTGATACTAAATTGTGCTCTCATGTGTAAAAGGACACAAGCAACCTGGTCAGGCAACTACACTAACTCAGGCTGGAAATAGGGTATCCATTTTTGTCCATCGGGGTAGCAAGAGTATGGGTCAGCTCACCGAGGAGATGGCACCTTGCTACTTGAAGTCTCTAGATCACTATTTCCTTTCCTTTTAACTAGACCAGGTACAAGTTCTCGATTTGATGTAGAAGTTGCTGGATTTCTGATTAGTGTTAATCCATGAGAACAGAATAGGTAGTCAGCTGTCCTTCTGGCCTTAAAATTGCCAATCCATTGAACTTGCTGCCATTAACTCCTGTTGTGTCTCTTGGATTAAAATACATCTTTTGTAAAAGGTGTTGTGACACGTTATTTATGTAGTGCGAAGAGGTTCTGTCTGAACGTTTCTTAAGCTGCCCTTGTATGTTATAATCCTATTTTGTCTCACCTTACTGACAAGAAATTTCTGCTTGTTTATTTAACTGACGTTAGTCTTTGAGACCTTAAAGCCCACCGATAACTGTTCTTTCCATTTATTTTGTTCTTCTGTGTCCTAAAACTACGAATTGTGGTCACTAAGAAGAATTCTGTTTAAAAAGAGAATGGCTGTTACTCTTTTATATGTGGGAGGACCAATGTCATGTGTCCCATCAGTCTGGCCTGGGCTTGTACAAATAGGCCTTAATTAGTTTGCAGATGCCCATCAGTCAGGTGCTACCCGATTGAATGTGCTCTGCCAAACCCCTTCTGGACCTGGCCTGGCAGGCAGCAATCATCGTGCCTGGCATCTGAGCCAGGGAACCCTGTCATGAATCTGCTTTGCGCTGGGATAAACTTGTCTTGGTGAGAATCTTCCACGTCCTCTTTCCATGTGTCAAGCCATAGATAGTTAATTGGTGGTATTGGTAACACACTGGGTGTCTCTTATGAGAGGGATACAGCTCTACTGAAGTGGCAAGTAAGAGTTATCTTTGTGAGTGTCCTTCCACTGAACTGCCAAAGATACGTCCTCGAGTAGCTCAAGTGAGGGTGGAAGACAAACCTGTGCTTGACTGTGAGTGGCGTGATGGTGGAATTGCAGGATTTTGGGATCTTGAAATTAAACTTTACCTCTTTTCCAACAGTCCAAATGTTTAATTAAAAATGTATTTGTTAAAATGTTGCATTTGATAACTATAACTGGGACATATTAATATTTCCTCAGGAAAAGTCTGACAGTAGATGCCTTTTTATCTTTTCCATAGTTTTCATTTCATCATAGTTGTTTTTCCTATACTAATAACAAGGAGTTATCTTTCACTTGTTCTTCAGATTCAGCTTGCTTACTTGAAGCTCTATTAGCTCACTCAGCTACTAGTTAGAGCAGAAGAATACCAGGAAATATCCATGTGACCTTGACAGAGGTCAGTTACTTCTTCATGATACTCTGTAGCTGTCCAAGGCTTTTGCTGCTCATCTTGTGTATTTGTTTTGTTTTTGTAGATTCTACATAGCAGGCATGAAAGGTTTGTTTTCTGTATTAATGGGTATTTAGTACTCTTCTAGCTTTCTGAGAGAATGCTAAAAATGAAAACTTCAAGTACAATCATCTGGGATACAACCACCTGAAGACACATGCTATACCTCTTTCTTGTATTTGTCATTTTCAAAATGTGTCCACTTCTAATAATGACTTGGACCTACTGTAATATTTGATATGCAAATATTGGCTTTAGAAATTGCACACCGGATAGCAATTGTGAGCTATTTACACTATAATAAATTATTCTTTACAAATATTGATGGAAATTCTGTTATAGGTGAGCAAGGCATAAAACTTATTCTTTGAAAATGCTGATTTTTATAACAATAGTAATAAATATTTTACCTGTCAAGCAGACAGACCTCAAACGGTGCTCAGTTCAGAAGTCTATTCATACAATGTCAGCTTTATCCAAACAATGTCTCTTCTAAAGCGACAACCAGCCAAATGTCCATTAAAGATGATGAACCAGACTTCTGCAGGCACAGTAGAGACTGTCTGCGCTGCTACTAAAGGATTTAGATGTTATCCCTAAAGCCAAAACCTTTTTTTTGCTTTTCCAGGTGGCTCATGGATATCTGTACCCATCCACAGGATTCCAAAATGTGTGTATTGCATATAGGTGAAAGGAAAAATAATTGGCACAACTGTAATGGGACTTGTCAAGATTACTCTAGTTACAACTTTTTCTGAATTTCCTTTTAGTATTAACATGAAACTGGGACCATTTAATTTGCTTTGGGTTGAAACTTGGCTCTTAGAATGGCTCTGCTCAAACACTTATAAAACAATTGACAAGTTCAATCGTGCTAACTGATTTCACAGAATAAAGATGAATTCTTTGCTGGAAGGGATTATCACCTGGCATCCTGTAGTATGTGCTGTTACTGCCTTCTTCCACTCAG